TGCACGTTAAAGAACGCCAGGTGGTCGAAACTTTCGGAGCCCTTCACTACGGTGTCTCTCATAATCGTATGGTGGTTTCGGGACGTTAAACTCCACATATCAATCAATTCATCCACGGTGTAAGTTATACACTCATTAGGTGAGGGCACTCGCACGATGCAATTAACCAGATAAAGTATAAGATGGAGTGATGCTGCTGACCACAGCGAATACTTAGTCGACCGGCTGTGATTGTGGTCATTGCCAGCCACCATGCTGGTTCCCATAGCAATGGCTCATAAGGCATATTTCATGCTTGAAGTTGCGTCGTCGCGGCATTAGATATCCGGTGCCATTGCCGGGCCTACGGGCGCGCACCATTGTTACTTCATTTCTTTGAACATGCCTTGTAAGTGTAAGCGAGCCTACAAGTTGTGCCCTAAACAGTGAAAGAAAAGTAGAGTGGACGTGGGGTTTGAGGGGAGGAAGGTAATGGTTTGAAAATTGGCTGACCTTGTTCAAAACTGTGCAGAACGCTGCTAAGCCACCTTTGCCGCTGTACAGCGGTGTTTCGCAGAAAAGTGTATTATGATTTGGAAGGGGCTATTAGCACCAGTCGAGGGACAGATCATATTTTGTTCAATTACTCATGCATGTATGCGTGGCATAATTAAGTGCCAGTATGACCACTGACATCTAAAAGGTTACTGGCAATTATTTGGAGCAGCGAAGCGAATGACATTTTGGCTGCTCTAAAAAAGAAAAATATACACGCACACACCTGTGCACCAGTTTTTTTGTCGCCATCCCTACTCCTTGGTTTTACGAACCTCCCAAATGTCAAGGTCGCCAGCTTGGCAGAGCTACATTTGAATTTGCAGAGTCGATCAAAGGATTCGACTGACACGGGAAACGCTAACGTGGACTTCATTGTTTTCTTTTAGAATTTTACTTCAGAATACTTTTATTGAAATAGCAGTGCCCATGTTCACTCTGCATAATTTAAGTGGTTGAATGTTTTGTATGTGTATTTTTTTTCCTAAATGTAAGCTTTCTTTTTTATACTGCTCTAAATTAGGTCTCTCATGATTAAACATTTGTTATTTTCTTCATAACATGCTCCAAATTTGAATTCTAGTGCACCAAAAGTAATATTTTGCTGTTCTAAAAATTGCGTCAAATTCTATTTTGGCTGTTGCACCCCTGATCATGCGATTTGCCACCAGAATCGTGCCAAGTGTACACTCTCTGTTATCTACGTGATTCTCTTGTACGCCCACATGCCTTGCCTTGGTTCATTACAACTAATGCAAGTTTCTAAGAAAAATGGCCATTGCTTTTCCAGCTATCTTGTACCAAAAGTACCACCAGAAACTACGACCGGGCTCATATGTGCTTCCCATAAATTCATGTTCTGGAAGGGTCGATGTATAGCCCAGTATTATGACACTTGCCTTTAGACAGTGAGGGCCCAAGTTCTAACCTCGGCTGTCTAAGAAAATTTATCTTTTGGTTGATTCATTTCTTTGTTCTATTTTATCGAACAGCGACAGCAGCACAGAGTCTGCAAATACAGCTTCATGGTAAAAGAGAGGCTGAAAACAAAAAAAAAATGCTTATCTATTAATATATGTAGAAGTATATATGGAAACCTTGGTAATTCAGTGGAGCAGTTTTTTGCAAATCTCGTTGCATGTGTTTCTAGGTAGTGCCAGAAAGCATCACCACATCTATCTCATTTTCATTATGTTGGGGAAAGGCACACCACATTTTGTAGTATTTTCAGGAAAATTGAGCCACCAGCTCGGCTATGAAGCAGCTCGACTTTACTTTGTCTCATCCTAGCAGAGAAGCCCTGCATAGAAATTTCTTCTTTTCCTTTCAGTTTCAATACTGTCTTGTGAATGGTGGTATGCTTCAATACTGTCTTGTGAATGGTGGTATGCTGTCTGCCTGCACAACATGACTTAACGCACTTATACATCAAGAACACTTGAGCATGCTACTTGCGTTAGGTAAAGCCTTTCACCATGTTTTGTGTCAAGCAAACTTCTAAATATTTATTGAATTTATTTATATTTATCTTTGTGGAACCCACATTTTGTGCGCATTGGCTTCGAAAGTTCTTTGGCTTCACTGTAAAGTTGGTTTGAGCAATTGATTTATTTCACTAAGTGACAGCTCAGCTGTGATTGATGTCTTAAAGGGTCCCTGCAAGACTTTTTGAGCATGGTCATAAAACACTGCCGATTGGCAGTCAAGGCCCTTGAGAACATGCGAGCCAAACATTATAGCCCTGGAATTCACAATCAATCCCAAAGTCAGCTATAAATCGCTGCCTCTTTTCTGTGCAAATGATGCCATATACCCAAATTACTGCATCATTGTCACTGAGCTGCTTTTTGTGAAAGAAAGCATTGAGGTAACAGTGCTAGAAAGAAACGAGGCTGTTAGTTTACAAACATGGCGTTATGTTTCCAGTTTACAGAGCACAAGGATGAGCAAACAAAGTAAAATAATATGTGCAGAATGAAGGGCAACAAGTTTTCAAAGAAAAGCTTCTATGGGGGCTAGTTGGAACATACTGTAGCTAATGGCAGCACTGGAAACCAGATGTTTTGGTCTTTAACTTTGCAGCGCTGCCTTTTCCTTCAAAGAAAAAGCTTCACCGTTTGTTATAAACAGGCACAAACAGCATAGGGGAGGGGCTCACAAGTGCGGGCAAAGATGGTGGTTGATGTGGTAGCATTGCAGAAGCGATGACAGCAGACGTAACAGTAGATGTCGGGCCCGTCGGATGGCAATGGCTGTACGCCTTTTTGGCGTTCGCCAGCCAAAGCTTGCCTGCCATAAAAACGCAGGTGTTTTCTGATCGAGCATCCTTGCGACTATCTGCTGACACCACGAACCGGGAAGAAGCTTGAAGCCTGACGTTGACACCATAGGGGCACGTGCAGTGACCTTAGCCATGTACACAGCTGGTTGCTACTCCCACACCCTGGGGGCATCATTTTCTCTCGGCTACATCTGCCGTGCTCGTCAGTCCTTTCCTTGAGTCTCTTCTGAACCACCGTAAATGGTGCTCATTTGTCGAGTGTCTCTTGCTACACGTGTAGCAGGCACACTGTCATATACATCCTCGTCACCCCTACGCTTGCGCACGTTATCACAGCCACGGACATTGGCTGACTTCACCATTGTGAGCTGCATAATTACCATGGCCATCATGGGATGCCACCACGTACGTGCTCACTCCTATCGCACTGAACGTAAACTGTAATCATTATGAAAAAAAAAAAAAACGCCAGGCCTGTGTGGAAGGCGCAGCACAGTCACAGCGAAAGCTAGAAGAGCGGCCTTTCAGAGCCTTTTCAAAACACTCATTGGGTAACTACTCCAAGCACACTTGCTTGATACCCACTAGGGCATTAATAATAAATTTTTTGGGGTAGTAGGCCGGCATGCGTTATGCTATTTTTCGTCATTTTTCTGAGAAGCGTGGTGTCGGCTAAACACTTGCAAAGAATTTTTTGCCAATTGTTCATGCAGTGGCTGACGACGATGAGGAATTATGGCTTTAGTGGGTATGTGCCACAGTCAATAGGTGATCAAGAACAAGCTTTTGTAATAGGTTATAGCATTGGATGACCCACTCGTTATGCTATTCGCATTGTGCGACGACTGGTTCTTGTTTTGCTGTTTTAAAACGCTTTATAAGTTGTAATAACGCGATTGCTTTCCCGACATCAAGCCTGTGTAAGGCAAGTTTGTCAACAAGCCACAAGCACCACTCAGTGGTAGAATACTGGGCTGGCACCCAGCGGACCCGGGTTCGAGCACCACTATTTCATTGGTGCTAAGTTTGTTTTTTTCTAATTTCGCGCGATATGGTTACGGACACCGGCAGCAGACAACTGCGGGTGACCCAAGTTGTGATCTCATAATAGCTTTCACTGTAAAAGGGAAAAGAAAGTGCTCAAGGTCATGGTGCGTACTGACGAAATGACTCGTCCTTTTTGCCCCCTTGTCGCCCCCCTTCTGTTTATCTCTCAGACCACTTGTTGGTACAAAAGGAAAATGAAAGCACCAGACACATACTGCAAATTTCTGTAACGTCTCTCATACTTGACAGATGCTACAGATTTTTGCAGCTGTTGATTCGTGTGACAATACGTTCTCTTTAAAGGAGCCATTCCAGGATTACTTCACAAACAGTTGCAGGGCCCCTTTAAAGGGGCCTGAAACACTTTTTAATGTAACCATGGAATTAATTCACTGGATGAGCTTATTGCCTCACGAATTCAACGCCGCAAAAGTTTTAAGAATCCATCCAGTGTGAGTGGAATTATGAAGATTTGTCGCATGCTGCAATTGCATTCTCCCTGCTCTTGTCCCGATGAAAGCGCTGCAAGCTAAGCAGGGAGGGATGGCAGGGGCAAAGAAAAACCTCATGTGCGCCTCGGGATTTTGAGTGCTTTTTTCTTTTCTTTGGATGCGGGGCTTTTTCAGTGTGATTGCATGTGCACATGTGGACAAGTCGCTGCCTCCCACGGCGATCTCTGTAACGAGCAAGCGCGCCATGTTCAAATCAGCCAATGGCTGAAAGATGAACTTGCTACGTGTTATTTTTAGGCATATTCCGTGATTTGTCGAGAGAAGAGAAGAGAAAGCAATGTTTAGCTGACTTTGATGATTTATTGTGAATTTCAGGCCGCGTTCTGCGCTATAATATTTGGCGCGTGTGTTGTCGGGAGCCTCTACTACCGATCGCCAGCGTTTTCTGACCATGCTCAAAAAGTTTTGCAGGGCCCCTTTAAACGTGAGGCTCTACTTTACTTTTGGAGATTTCATGCCCCACATTTTCACATGGCCGGGCATGCCTGGGCACTTGCTCTGTGATTGAAGTGTCACTGCTTGTCATGGGTTCCACTATGTTTTGTTTTACAGCAGAATTCTGTAGTTTAGTTTCTGAGCCAGCCAGTGCTTCATGCACATTGTAGACATCTTGCCTTCACTGACAGGTGTTGGCCCTGGAGCAACTGTATGCTCTCGGTGCTCTGAACCACCTGGGCGAGCTCACAAAGCTTGGTCGTCGGATGGCCGAGTTTCCTGTCGACCCCATGATGGCAAAAATGCTCATCGCATCTGAGAAGTATCGATGCTCAGAGGAGGTGCTCACGATTGCTGCCATGTTATCGGTGAACAGCTCTGTCTTCTACCGGCCCAAAGACAAGGCCTTGCATGCTGACACGGCGCGCAAGAATTTCTTCTCTCCAGCTGGAGACCACCTGACACTCATGAACGTCTACAACCAGGTAGGACACTTTGCTTTCCGAAATTACTGACGAACTTTAGTTAAATTCCTGCACTGTTTTTCTGCAGAAGGCAACCTTTTGCATCACTGAAACATCTTTGAATGATCGGAACTTGGCAGCCAATGTTTCTTTCTTCCTGTTTTTTTTTTTTCTCTTGTTTTTCAGTATAAGTTATTAGGATCCTTCAGGTGAATTTTCATGTTCACCGGGATATTTCATACGAAGTGTCCAAAGACTGACAATATCACATTGTGTCGTGTGCATTGTTACGAGGGTCAACCAAACAAAAAGCACGTATTTTTTTTTTTAGGTTTTAGCCGATGCAGCACAAGGCGGTGTATGTTTGCAGCTAAACTGCCGAGTAAGCAGTTTCAGTTTGCCATGTTGTCACTAATATGCAGATGGCTGGTCAATGCAGTGTTTCCGACATGTCCTTTACGCTGACTACAGTGAAATCTCGGTATAACGAACTTCAGGGGACCACGGAAATTTGTTCATTATTTTAAATGGTTGTTATAGTGAAAGCTCCAAAATTAACCATAAATACTTATTTTTCACGGACCAAAATGACTTACATTTACAGCGGTGGGTCCTTGAACTTGTTTTTCATGGAAAAAAAAAACAAATTTACAAGTAAACACCAAGAAATGCACATTTATTTTGAAGAAGTTTGTGTTTTTTTTTTATGCAAGCAGCACAAGCTTTGCAGTGCGAAGGCCTCCAGCTCATCCACATTCCTGTGGTGCGATTCGGTTTTTTGGTCACAACAGCCTGCTTTTTGCCTTCCAGTTGCCGAAGAATGTCTATTGTCTCGCTTAGCAAAAACTGCTACCGCTTCTTCGTCGCAAGCAAAGATGAACTCACTTGTAGTATCACCGCACTGTGGACGCGATAAGTAATCACCGAAAAGAGATGAAAACGACTGAAAAAACAAGGCCTCCAAAGAAAAACCCTAAGTGTCACGGCTGTCATCGCCTCTTTCGAAGAAAAAAAAAAAAGTGCTAGAAAAGAAAATTCCTCGCGTTTAGTTTTCTGCTTTTCTCGCTGTCTCAGGTTTTCTGTGCCCATGCTTCCTGCTCTGCAACTCCCACTCTGCCTCACTGACCTTGCCCTCCCGTGTTGCCTTCACCCCTGTGCTCGCATGTAAACCTGCAGCGTCGTCGTTTCAACAACAAAAAAAAAAGTCGTCCTTTCATTTTTTTTTTCCTTCACCCCGTCACGCGTCTTTCAAGAAGCAAAACGTCCGTTCTCTTTGTTGTCTGCTTGCGTACCGCTCCGGTGGTCACGCCGGATTTCAGAACATAAGTTCATAGTACTGAGGCATTAATATAACGTGGAACTAAATTAATGCTCGTTATTCTGAAAAGCTTGGTATTCTGAAGTATGTAGTAGTAAAATAATTTTATATTGAAGCTATTAGTAATTGGCACGGGTTTAATCAGCACGGATGATACGTATCAGCACGGATGATACGTATATTAGTAATCAGCACGGATGATACGAACCCGCAATTGACCACTGCACACGAGCGGCACAATGCGACTTGCAGTGAGAGGAAAGCCTGTTCTCACTTGACCTCGAAGGGAGCGAATGTGGCAAAACTCCCCGAAATTTCTCTCGCTTCGCCGCCTAAGTAGCTGGAAAACTACACCGCGAGGCCTATGCAAAAAGAAACTAAAAAAAACGGTGCAAGGCAAATTTTTTTCATCTCGCAATAGCGAATTGCCTTTCCACTTCATGGCACAGCTCAAACCACATGACGTAAACAACTGTCCTCAAATTAAACATGTTGGCAAAGGTGTCAGTGGTGGCTCGTATCGGGCGCAATCACAAATTACCCGTGCAGCACGACGAAGCTCACGGTCTCAACAGGGACGCTTTCACAAGAGCCTGTTTTAGGTTAGGATTCCTGAGAATAGCAGAAGTAGAAGGAGGTGCAGCAGCGAGTCTGCATTCGCCCACGTGTCTCGCTTTTGCATAGCCTACTAAATCCGCCACCACTGCTGCCGGTGGGAACGCTCGTGTCGTTTCTGCTGTTGTATCTCCCGAAACTATGTTTGAAAAGGTGCAAAACTATGCACAACTAGAACTCGGTAAGAATTTTAATGTTAGAAAAACGGGCAAAATGGAATGAATTCTCGAAGTGGTGACAGCAGCAACATCGGTGGCATGTACAAGGAGCAGAACGAATGTGAATGTTGTCGATGCACGCAGGCTTGGTTTTTCCGCCGCCCTGGTGTTTTTGTTTTCACTTTTCATCTAAAGTCTAAGTGCTTCAGGACCGATTTTTTTCGTGTCAACTTTGCAGCATAGTTTTATTCCTTTCTGGTGGCTTTCTTGAGAGACAGCAAAGGCAGAAAAATTGCCTTTACCCAATCCGTGACCACTCTTTGGGTGCAAAAGTACCGAGGCTCGTATGGCACATCGTGCCCATTTCGCGATGCCCCAATCCAGGATGCAACTGCCTCACACTTGCTGTGGACCTGCACTGGTCTACAATTAAGCCGTCATCGTCACCTTCGTGCAACAGGCCTCAGGCCTGGCCGACCACCGGACTACGACCGCTGGATTTGTTGACCTCACTATCGTTCTCTACTGGACTTGATACATGAAGCAAACGTTTATGTGTATTTTCGAATCAACAGTTATTATGCCTAGGGGCAGACTTTTGAAGTAAAAAAAAGTTGAAAAGAACATTATGGACTTTTTCAGCAAAGAGAAGTTGACCCCAATGAAGTTCTTGTTCATCTTCATGATGAGCTTTAACTTGTTTTGGTTCATACGAATTCAGGATGATACAAACATTTTTCGTGCCCTACGAATTCGTATCATCGAGATTCTTATGTATTGGAACAGTATAAACAATCAAATCTCATTAATATGCACTTGATTGTAATACACTAACAGTTAAAACATAGTTCCAACAAATTCCTGACTGCATACCTGACCGAAGCAGAGGGCCAAGCTGCATGAAGCTGACATGGCGTGGGCTGCCCGGCGAATCGAGAGGGGAGGAGGCTTTCCAGAAAAACTTATTCCAGTATGCAGGGTATGCACTAAATGGTAGGCATAGGACAAACCCTTGGCGAATTAATGCATATTCAATGACAGGGGTCAGCAACCTTCAGGGCAATATGAGAGGCCTGTACCAGCCACTCTACTTTGTCGAGTTTGGGAAAAAAACAGCTGTGCCATGGATCCAAAAATGAAAATGAAGCGATGACGTGCTTTTCACGACAGCCTGCCGTGGTTCTCGACTTTCAAGAGGAAAAAATGTGAAGTAAGGAGTTATTTTAATGCATCATCAGTGGTCCTCAATCAGCATTACCCCCAGAAAGCATACGTAGCCATTACTCTGATCAATAAAAAAAATGGCATGAAAGGCTTGACTGAGCAAATGCGTAGGGCACAAATGGCACTCCCGCACAGATGATTAAAGGGGCAGGGAAGGCCCTCCCTGATTTTCTTGGTGCATGCCAGTCACCATACACTGCACACTTTTATAGGCCTCAGTGCACCTCCATCTGCTGCCAGGAGCGCTAGAGCATTGCAGAGTGCTCGTCGCTTGCAGGAAGCCCGTCATTGCTGCGTTAACGCAACAACCTGTGTACTACAACTGTGCACAAACAGGGCCAGAGTAGTGTCAGACACCTTACAGCAAGTGTACATGTGCTACAGCAAGCGGCACGGCAGCGATTGCGTGAGGTCAATGGGCAACCGGTTGCATATCTATAGCCAGGAGATGATTGGCTTCACATGGCCGCACCGGGGTTCATTGAAACTGTTTGATTTCGCTCAGTGGCAGATCACGGAAAGCTGTTCGCACTGTCATGTCACTCGCTGTGTTTCTTGGGCCCTGCTACTATAGTTTTGAAACGCTCCTCACATTGCACTGTAGGCTTTCGCATTCTCACGCTCGTGCTTTCTGCGCTTTGGCAAAAAATAAAGGAAAGGCCTTGTGCTGGGTACTTCAGGCAGTATCTGCGCCAGGTCAGGGTATCTGCGCCAGGTCAAATGGTATCAGATTGGCCAATCGTGCCAATCTAATACCATTTCCTTTTGTTGTGCCGATATGCGCAAAAACCACGAAATTTGCAGAAATTGTGCCATGCTGTGCCAAAATGCGCGACAAGCCTCAAAATTATCTAACATGCATTAATTTTAGCGTGAAATAGAAGCCACATTGGCCACCTGCACATCGCATCATCTATCAAACCAAGCAGTAGACTCTAACCTTAAAACACAGTGTAAATTATATAATCATTAAGTGTGGACACTAGTGAATTAAGTGTGGACACTATCGACCAGATAAAGTATAACATGAAGTAACAACACCGCGCGCCCATTGGTCCGTGGACCATAACGGATACTTATCAACAGGTCAACGAAACACCAAGCCATAAAAAAAGCATTGCCACAGCCACCAACGATTCACAAGAAGTATGAATTTCCCAGTCAGCAAACGCGGATATGGCATGTTAAGAACGAATGCCGCGTTTTCCGCTCGCGAACAAGGTTGACGTTTTGCAAAAGTCATCATTGCCAGCCACCATGTTTATTGCCGTAGCAACAACCCATAATTCATTTTTCCGACTTAATGTTGCATCGCCCCGGCGATAGATATCCGTCGCCGGGTCAATGGGCGCACGCCGTTGTTACTTCATCTGGTCGAACGTGCCTTGCAAGTAAGCCAAGAAGTTGGGCCCTAAACCTAACCCTACCATCAAGAAAAAAATTGCCCGCAGCTTCCCTCGGGGGAACACTGAGGAGGATGCGGAGCATATAATTGGTTAACGGGGTGTTAAAGTGCGACTTACTTGGGTCGATGGCTAAATTGGTTAACGTGGTTGTGAAATGGGGTGTTAAATTGCGACTTACTTGGGTCGATGGCTAAATTGGTTAACGTGGTTGTAGGAGGGGGTGTTAAATGAGTGAACACGTACACACGTATGCGAAAGGGCGGCGCTGGTCGAAGGGACGTCGATCATTGTGTTTGTGGATTCGTTGGAATTCATTTCACCGCGACCTTGGACGTCGACGCGCCGTACAAACCAACCGACGAGCGGCAACTGAGCGAGCGAGCGCCGACCTTGAGTATATATACAGCGCGACGGCGCATGCACTGTCAGCTGTCGAATGTTCGAGAAGGGGGAGAAGCGCAACGGCGCATGCGCGCGCGTCAGCTGCCGATGTTCTTGAAGCGCGACGGCGCATGCGCGCGCGTCAGCTGCCGATGTTCTCGAAGCGTGACGGCGCATGCGCGCTACATTATGCAGCTAGCGAATGTTCGTGAAGAGGAGAAGCGCACGCGGTGTGTAGAGGAGGAAGGGTGCACAGATGGTGGAGGAGTGAAGCGCGCGCGGTGTGTAGAGGAGGAAGGGATGCACAGATGGTGGAAGAAGGAGGAGGAAGCTTGCGGACGGCACCGCACTACAAGCCTCGAGTATTAGATGCTCCGCATCTAAAAAAAGGGAGCGTATGGGGGTTAGGGGGCTGGTGTAGCGGTTCGAAAGTTTCTTGGCCTTGTTCTAACCCATGCAGAATGCTGCTTAAGCCACCTTTGCCACAGTACTCTGGTATCCCGCGGAAAAGTGTCATGTTATTTGGAAGGGGCTGGTAGCTCTAGTCACGGAACACAGCACATTTTGTTAAATTACTCATGCGTGTATGCACCTCCTAATTGTGAGTACTAGTGTAATTGCTGACATTTAAAAGAGTTGCTGGCAATCATTTAAAGTAACGAATGACATTTGCACTGCCTTTCCCCCCCCCCCCAAAAAAAAAACATTGTGCGCCAGTTTTTTTTTTTTTTCGCCATCCTTACTCCTCAGCTTTATGAATCTCCTGAATTTCAAGGTTGCCAACTTGGCAAAGCTACATCTGAATTCGCAGAGTTTCTCAAAGGATTCCGCCGGCATGGCAAATGCTAATGTAGACTTCATTGTTTGCTCAGTGGGGTAATTCAGATTACTACTTTTATTGAAATAGCAGTGCTCATGTTCACTATGCATGATTTAGGTGAGTTGAATGTTTTGTACATATATTTCTTTATATGTAAATCTTCTCTTTCGTACTGCTCCAAATTTGGTCTTTCATAAGAAATTTTTTTTCCTGTAACCAGCTCCAAATTTGGATTTTAGTGCTCCGAAAGTGGCATCTCACTGCTCCAAAAATTGCTCCAAATTCTATTTTGGCTGTTGCACCCCTGGGCGAAACACATTCCATCTTTCTAATTTTTTTCAAGAGTTGTGAAAGCTATGTGGCATCAAAATCACATTGCGAAAGAAAGGCCGGAAACAGGCGGAGTGCTGCTCGCCTGCTCCAGCCAATCAGTAGAAGCCGAATTGGACATGTTGTGAGAATAGTTCTGCCGTTCTAATTTGCATGTAAGACTCACAAGATGTTTTAATGATTGACATGTGGGGTATAACGTCCCAAAACCACCATATGATTGTGACCGACGCCGAAGTAGAAGGCTCCAGAAATTTTGACCATCTGGGGTTCTTTAACGTGCACCCAAAGCTGAGCACACGGGTCTCAAGCACCTTCTTCTCTACCGAAAATGCAGCCGCTACAGCCGGAATTTGATCATGCAACCTGCGGGTCAGCAGCCAAGTACCTTAGCCTCTAGACCACCGCAGCGGGGCAAGATATTTTTAGATAGAAAAGTTCTGTTGTTCTCTTCCTCCCACGCATGCCAGTTTCAACACACATTAGGATCTTGCTTAGTTCGCTCTTTCTATTATGTAATGCATTGCCAGGGTAGATGGGAAAGTGCCTAGATGAAATTGGCTTAGATGGTGAAAGAAATCTAAGCCAATTTCATCTTACATGATTTCATCTGGACAATAGTGTGGCTATGGCGATATCATGATTTTGTGCATGGGTGCTCTATCAAACTTTCCCAAGAGTACCGTAGCACGCCGGTCCTTTTGGAGTGGTTACCAGCCCTGCTTTTCTTTTTCTCTTCTGTTCCTTTTTTCCATAATGATGGAAATCTGTAATCCGATCTTCACCTGCACCTTGCATCATATACTCAGCCGAACAAAATCTAGTGCCCTTTCTGTTTTGCCCTTCATTGTAAACAAGGCTGCTATGAGGAGGCTAAAGCATCAGTTTTTAGGGACGAAATATTGTTGAGAATCTGTTCCATGTTTTAGCCATTAATTAATATGATCACTTATGAACCTATCTCTGCAGTGGGCTGACACTGATTATTCGACCCAGTGGTGCTACGAGAACTTTTTGCAGCAGCGGTCCATGAAGCGGGCGCGGGACATTCGTGACCAGCTCCAGGGGCTCATGGATCGAGTTGAGATCGAGCTGCTGTCCAGCAGGGACGACAGCGTTGCCATTCGTAAGGTATGTCCTCATGCATCTGTCCATGTTCACAGGAAAAGCTTGAGTGCCAAGCTTGATTGGAAATTCAGCACTTTCCCTACACACAAACCAATCTTCTGCCCACAATGTGCTCTCCTAAAGCCAAACTGTAGCTAATCAGATATTACGTAATAAAGAAGTGCAGAGCAATGCATGGAGCGAGGATAGAAACATTTTGTGTCTGATCTTGTTCTCATACTGTGTCCTTTTTCACTAGCAATGTTGTGTATCAGGTTTGCACAGGATCAAGACAGGACAGTGCATCCTGTCTGCGCTGTGAAATTGGAGCTGAAGCAATGTAGGCATCAAAATTTAAACTTGTTTTTCCTTCCGCCTATTCATGTATAATTGGAATACTATAACATAATAATTGAGACTGGTTGTACACAGAATGGTTATATGGCATTGTGGAGGCCACAGGGAAACTTTAATATTAAACAGTTCTCACTGGTGATCATAAATGTAGACGGTGTGACATGAAGTTTTCAGTGCCTTGGTATCATTTTGCAACAATGTTGATGAACAAACCTGTACAGTTTTTATGTAATGGGTGCTTTTATGTTGTTTCTTCTGGAAAGAAAAATTTTTCTATAAACATCCTGCGAAAAATGTGTTTAGAATAAGTGTTTAACAATTTAGAGTACCGGATACTCTGCTATAGGAGAGCAGCTTTTGTCGTTTTTGCATGCAAACTCTCTGTCAAAGTGAAAATACTTTGTCGCAGCCGAAACTACACTGCTGTGGTTATAAACAAATACTTGTTATTAAAATTTTTTACTTGAGGGCACTTGTGTGTATTATAGAGCTTTTGTAATTCTCTAGAAATCACGAAATTTGTACATAATTCAATATAGTCATCATCAAGTTTTGAGGGTGATAAAAAAACTGATTGCACTTGGCATGTGTGAAACAAGACTGCTTTGTTATGACGGAGTGAAACTGCCGGTACAAAGTGATCAAATTTGAGTCAAGGTGCATAGTGGCTGTATCCTTGCATAAAGAGCAGCAAGCCATCTCACTTCTACCGGTGGATTGCCTTAACTTTGAATGTCCCCTGCTGCAGTTACCCAGCAGTTATGCTGCTCGACTGCTGACCCGAGGTTTGCAAGATCGAATCCTGGCCCCAAATTTCGATAGCGGGAAACATTCAAAATGCTCGAAGCCCATTTTAAGTGCACGTTAGAGAACCCCACGTGGTCTATATTTCCAGATCCCTCCACTACACTGTCCCTCATAATCATATTGGGGTTTTGAGATCTTAAAACCCAACAATTAAATTACCTTTGCGTGTGGTTTTTAGCACTTATCTGTGTGCTTCGAGCTGTGTTCAACAAAAGCACAGTATCAAACTTTTCTTTATCTGTGGAGCGCATATTGCAGACAGATAAAATAGCTTTAAAGGCCTGTTTATAGTTTAAGAAAAAAAAAAGAAACAAATAAGCATCACACATCACAACCAACAAACGCACTGTCTACTTACTACATCTTTTTGAACGCTTGCCGATTTCCCTGACCATATTATTCTTTGGCACACCTTGATTGAATTTTCGTCACTTCTTTGTCAAGTTCACTTCAGGTTCAACATAACGGGCTGCATTTTGTGCACACCGAGAGCAATCAGTTTCGATGTCACTGTTAAATTTCAATGCTGAACTATATTTTGAACTGTATGTGCAGCTTTTGGTATTTAAAATAACTGGGTATGTCATAAATTGGCATGCAGTATGACTTTCTAATATAATTGATTGGCCTCAAGTAGTAAGGAATTAAAAAGTCTATTGATGAAGTTTTCTCAATTGGTCCTATCGATGTCACTTTAGTTGCGACAGAGTATTTGCACCTTAACTTGCAGTTTGTGTGAAAAAATGACAAAAGCGTGACTGTCATTGAATTTCAAATTCAGATCTGTATTGTTTAAAAAAAAACACTGTATGACATGTAATCATGTTTGTTTGAACCCTGTTTGGCCGTGCCACTGCAGAAATGTTTGGTTACCACTGGTGCAGGCCATCACGGCAGGGTACTTCTACCACACGGCACGCTTTTCCAAAGGGGGCCACTACAAGACCGTCAAGCACCAGCAGACGGTCATGATGCATCCAAACAGCTCCCTCTTCGAAGACCTGCCTCGCTGGGTGGTCTATTTCGAGCTAGTCTTCACGACCAAGGAGTTCATGCGCCAGGTCATTGAGATTGAGAACTCGTGGCTGTTGGAGGTAGCACCGCACTACTACAAAGCGAAGGACCTCGACGACAGCACCACCAAAAAGATGCCAAAGAACACGGGCAAGGCGAGGGCCGACCTCGTGAGAGTCCACTGACCTCAGGAGTGCATAGACATCATTATCATCAAAGGTGTGCCTGGAAATCAGCCAATGCGTGAATGATGCATTCGACTCCTACAGTGGCCCGTGCTAGTTTTTGCCCGCAAATTTTGAAGCATGGTGCAACACTACGAGCAGCAGCAACAGCCGATGCACTGTATGATCCTGTTTACTGTGGTACATGTGCTTCGGCACTAGACCCTTCTTTACGGTGATTTATCATGAGCCCACTGCCAGCTTTTAAAGAATGACGGTGAATACATCACGGGCAGCAGTCGACTGTTGCTGAATCATGAACTTAGCGTGACGTATAGGTGCTGACACTGCTGCTCACTCTTTCAAAAGTGTGTAGAACGCCCTAGACTTACACAGCTGCAACAGAAGAACACTTGTGCAAGTGCTTGTGTGCAACACAACCGATGGTATTTGTGCAGACTGATTCGACTTTATTTTCACTGTACATATGGTAAATAAGATCATTTTTTTAACTACCGCAGATATCTTGTCTCATGTGCAGTGTGTCAGTACTTTAAATGGGCTTCAGATGACTTGTCTGCTACTCTGCATGAATAAAAAATGACTCCATGCATTTATTTGATGTCACTATTCCAACTTTTGTTGCACTTATTGGCGATCTCTGTTAGTTAAAAAAAATCATAAATAACCAATGGCTTCTGGGTGCAGTGCTACTCAACATGCAGGTGAGTCGCATCATTGCAAATGCTTTCTTTTTCCTCTCCTATTTTCTCCAAAATAAGATGGCATTTGTTTTTTCATTTTGTGATGATGTATTATGTTTGACCATATCATGTTTGTAGCTTTCAGTGCCTTAACACCTCAACAATGGGTGACAGTCTTCTTGCCTAACTGGTTACCATATTTCATGTATATATAATATGCCACATATAGGTAATTGCCATAAATGTAATTTCAAAGGGGATTTTCAATGACTTGACAAATGTTTTAAAATAACCTTGTGGTTACATAGTGAAGTAATTAAGTCATGCCAGCGTGGGGAGGTGAGGGGGTGCTCAGAATAAATGCCTCTAAGCATAGCATGATAGAATACTCAATATGAGAGGGCATGCGTGCCCATGAATGCTCTGCTAATCAGTCATCCATCGTGCTGTGCTCAGCTGAGGCAGCTGGGTATGCACAATGATACACTCAATGTGGACCCTCAAAACAAGGCCATTGAATTCAAGTACTTACGAAAAGATTTCGCTATACATGTAGGCTGCTTTCAATCCCTTTGTTGTGTTCCAGCTAAGTCATTCCTCCTGCTATTCAGAGGTTGTCTGTTCAACAAAGGTTAGCTGCATGATACTGCAGTTATCTCAATAATAACTCTGGAATCGGATGATATTGGTTTAAGCTCACACTTGTCGCTTCTTCGAACGCCCCATGTCTTCTTTATTTCTCGTCTGCCTCTAGCATCATAGGGGTGGTTGTTTTTTAAAGGGACGCTAAAGAGCAAAACGACTTGTTGCACATCAGTAAAGTACTATTTCACAATCCCGAAACACCACTCTTACCGCCTCACGCACACGACACTTGGTAGTAAGTGCGAAAAGAAAATGCGGGGGGCGATGCCACCTTGAGATTCCCGCACCAAACACATAAAAAATTTAGGACACGCCTACTGCATGCAATGTAGCTTCGAATAGATAGAAATTAAGTGTGTTGTAATCTGTGGGTAACGTAGACTTAGCATATGAAGTCTGAGAAAATTTTGTAGAGGCAATGCCATGAAAATGCCGAAAATACATTTTGAAATTTCTTACTTGACATGTGGAAATTTCGGCGCGAAATTTAAAGATGAAACTTTAACTTTGATTATCACCATAATAATGAACTCATGATAGTGAAAGATATGCCATTATAATTCACAGAGTGCACTTGGTCAAATCAAGCAAAGTCACTGCTCCTCTTTAGCGTCTCTTTTATACAGTGAACTCTCACTTGTGCGACCTTCTATGGGACTACAGAAATAGCTTACATTACTGAAATTTCAGTAAACTGAGTATTCACTACAATATGGAACAGCATTGGGTACAGCAGAAATAAATAACATTGTGTGATGTGAAATTTATTTTTAAAGAATTCAATAATCTTAATTGGGACTGTCCAAAGCCCTTTAAGTGTAAGAAGATTCAAAGCTGCCGCAAACACGAAGGAACGGTGCGCCTCGCTGCTGCCACCGAAAAAAAAAAAAAGAAAACGCTGTCATGATCAATCAATATGTGCGCTTGCAGAAACAAGACATCTTCACTGCAACGCAATAGTGACACGCGAGAAGCATGTCGCCTGCTCCTCACTGCGTCAGCTCGTCGTGGTGCGACCATTCGCACATTATTTCTGGTATAATTTGGAATTTAATAATGACCATTATGACGAAACTCGCGATGTATTTTCGCTGAAAAAATTGATATTTTAAACTTAGTTTTTGAAGTAGGTGTTGCTGGCAAGAACTCCGCCAGCAGTGCAAAGGCGCGAATTGCTGGAGCAACCGGCATTCGGAGGTTGGCATGCATCGCGAATTCCGCCAAACTGTCCCCTTCATTAAATTTCTTTACAATCCCAAGAAGAATGGGTAAATCATGATGCGCTGACGTTGCGAGAAGCATGCGACATGCTACCTGCGCGTCACCACTGTGTTGCAGTGAAGCACGTTTTGTTTTCCAGAGGCGCACGTATTGGTTAACCTCCGAGACCTTTTCTTCTTTCTTGCGCTGGAGAGGCTGGAGTGCTCGAGTTTCCACTCATTAGTATCGCTACGTTCAATTGCCTCGTGGCTATTAAGGGCCGTCGTTTCCGCGCATTTGCGGCGAAGTTTTCGAATTAACCGGACTGGTGCCGGCCGCCGCTTCAAATTATCCAAACTCACATTGCAAAATATGGGACCGCAGAAATCCTTACAATTAAGCGGGATTTCGAAATAACGAGGTTTCACTGCAATTGTAACGTAAATGGGAAGAAAGAAAAGTGCATGAAAAGCTAACTCGCTGCCGACGGTGCGGCAGGCTCTGATGGGATGACTGCCACCATTGCTCTGTGGTAGAGCAATGGTGGCCTTGTAGTTTAAGTTTGTAGCTTCGGTCTGTGCCAACAGCAAGTCACCTTTTTTCGTTTACTTTTCTTTCATCACATTTACAGCAACTTCTAATAAGATCTATACTTTCCTTGGCATCATTGTCAGTTAGTTCTCATTAATATTGTGTTTAACAAAGAAAACTAGCCCTTAAATTTTTTTTTGCTTCATATATAGAACGGCGACCATTTTGGCACATTACATTACCACTTGTAGCAGTGGTATAATTAGTTATTAATGTACAAAAATGCTGTAATAATTATAAATTGTAACTGCAACAGGCTCATCACTATGAAATGGAAGCAAGCTATCTGTAATAGCCACAGCCATATTTTGATCTGAAGAAGTGCAATTTGCCAGGGAACTGTAGCATGAAATTCCACTCCCAAAATCTTCCGAAGCTGAAATTGTCAGACATAAGTATGCATACGGATGCACAGTTTTATGTCGTAAGGTACTTCCGATCCCACTTTGATGATAAATCTCGCCAAACTTATCTCAATAAAATTTCTGTTCATTAGTAACTAACCCATTCATTACCACACATCACTTGTCACCACTGATTGCATGTCTGCAATGGAACTGCCCTTCCTAGAAACACACAAAAGTCTCCCAGAAGCAGCATTGCACAGACGTTATCCAGCGACCATTTGCTGTGTCAACCTAACATCAGAATAAATGGCTGTAAAAGGTGGTTTAACCTAGAGGTGCATGACATTTTCACCATCCACACTTCGTCTACCTTTGTAAAATTTGAGCCGTACAACATCAGAAGCCATCAAAGTGGCTTGAAACCCGCCACGGTGGTCGTGGTTATGGTGCCCGACTGCTGACCCGAAGATCATGGGATCCAATTCCGGATGTAGTGGCCACATTTTGATGCAGGCAAAGTGCTTCAGGCACTTTGCCTTAGATACTTAGATTAGGTGCACATTAAAAAAGTACCACAAGGTCAAAATTTCTTGAGCCCTCCATTACAACATCCCTCATATGATATTGGGGTTTTGGGACGTAAGATCCCAATAAAGAAAGTAGCTTGAAAGTCTCCTGGACTGCCAATATACTTTCAAAAGCTCCACCCTATATCACTGCCTTAAACCCCAGCAAAGGAGAGTTGTCTAGATGTAGTAATTGAGTTTTTTTTTTTTTAGTTGCATCGCTGCCTTAGCGTCTTGAATTGGGCTGGTTAGTACATACTGACAAAAAAAGAAGCAACAGCGCTGGAACAGGACAGCATCGTGTTTGTGTCTTCTCGTCTCCGTCCTGTTCCAGCGCTGTTGCTTCTTTCTTCGTTAGCATCGCTGTCTTCAAACCCAGTGAAAGAGAGTTGTCCAGACTTAGTAATTGAGTTTTTTTTTTTAGTTGCACACTGCTGCACACATCCACGTTGACAGAACGAGTTGCTCGGCTCTCCTTCACACTTGATTGTACCAAATGAAGGCATCTTTCAGGTGGGCTACACACAAGGTGGACTTACAAGCTTCGAGTTCAGCTTGCGTTCAGCCCACCTGAAAAATGGGCTACACACCATTGTCATAGTCTCTAGAGACATGGTTGTGGTTTTGAAAATGACAGTGCACATGAGCATGAAGTCTACTGCACATATTTACTGCACCAGCTGGCAATGTCTCCTGTTGCGACCCAGGAAATAAGAAGAAGCAAAGGGCTGACCCACTATGCACGTGTTCTTTTTCTTCGTATTCTCTGTCGCCATTAAAGCATGGTTGTGTCCAGTAGGCTTTGAGTTTTTTATTGCTCTGTGCTACAGAATCGGCTATGTCGAGCCACAATATATGGTGCCGAAGATCCGGGATCTGTGGCTAATCGGCGACACAGACGGCAGCATCGACAAGAACAATTTTTTCAAAGTATAATTGTCGGTGCTTTTTAAGCCTCGTCGGTGGCCGCACACAGCAACGTCAATAAGTGGACGCAAACCTAAGGCTTCCTGCGAGTACACTGCAGCAATGAATCATTTCAAACAGAAGAGAACATCGGCACACGCTCAGAATACCAAGATAATAAACGAGGCGACCGCTATTATGGGAAGCGACAGCGCCGATGGAGCGACACTCATTCATTGAAGGAGCGGCTGACATCCAGCAATGAGAAGCTCAAAAATAAATCCGAATAAATGGAAGGGTACATCCCAACGGAGGAGCTAGCATATCAATACGCCGCAGCAGCAGACTACGAGGATCAAGCGGTCGCGATACTTTCACGCCTTCAGTGCCGAATCGAGGACATCAACAACTTGCAAAGGACCGTCGACGCTGGAAATTCCGCAAGTACCGTTCATGCTCCTGCGAACGTCGGCAACGTGAACGTCAGTCCTCGCCTGCCTTGACTTGAGATCAAGCCGTTTAACGGAAACATACGTGAGTGGACCTCTCTCTGAAAGCAGTTTGATGGTACGATGGTAACGTTCATTCAAATTTGGAACTAAGTGAGGCAGACAAGTTTCATTACCTTCGGAATTACTTGAGAGGGGAAGCTGCTGCAGCAAT